ATAGGAGAAAGAACGAAACAGTGTATGTATTATCTAGCTACTCAGAATGTATAACAAAAACTAAAGAGAACGAAAGAAAAGGAGAGAAAACAAATATAGTATTGAATATATTTGTTTTCACTATATGACAATATTAAAATCAAAATTTTTCTTTGAAATACCTACGGATTTTTGTCAACGAGAAAATAGCTGTATTTTTTACTTTTATCAGTAGTGTGTTAAAAGTATTATCATAATCTGAAAATTCAACAAGGCTGTCTGTTAACAATTTGTGACTTGCTGTTAAGTATTTTCTCATAATGTAAATCTATAAATTAAAATTTGTTGATGAAAAGAAAATTTTTCACATATTAGACGACAGAATTTATTATTATATTACAAAGTTCAATGCTTTTTATTTTTCAATTATTTTCATTTCGTTGATTTAGTATTCGACGGATTTTATTCGATTGTATTAAATAGTTGACTGAAGACAAACGGCAACTCTAAATCAAAAAATCAATAAAAAAAATCTTTTAAATTAATTTTTTAAGTTGATTTTAAAAAAACTTGATTTCAGCTCTTTCCTCATGTTTTGTAATATTTACATTGCCATGAGTCCTCATCTCACTTTGCTCATAAGGCTGTCAAAATCATCAGTCGAAATTTCAGATATATTCGAGCTAGTCGATCAATCATCATTTTTCTTGATGATTGCTAATTGATTGACAGAAACAACTTGAAAAAGGTTTACATTTACTTTTTTCTCTCAGATTTTTGTAAATCGTCTCAAAAGAAATATGAATATCAGAATCATTTAACACTCGAAATCTTCAAGTTTTTCAGATCAGCCTAACAATTTTTTAGAACTTAAATATGTAACCTGAGAAGCATCTGTATGAAACAAGTGAAGTCTAAATAATGCAATTTTGATTTTACTTTTCAAAGTCAGAGCATATATTGATGAAAAATATGAAGCCGAACGGACACTTTTTCTATTCTAATGACGTTATCTGTGTTTGTTATGTATTTGTTCAATATTCATATTCAACGGCTAGCACTGATGTTTCTTCACTTATTTTTTTGAAGATACGAATAATAATTTTAGAAAACAAAAAACAACTCACTATTGACATCGAATGCCGTGTCGATAAGATGAATTTCATTGATTCCCTTGAAGAGCGCATGTTTCTTGTTCTTCATAACCTTGAAACGGGTTCCTGGTAACAAAATCAATTCTTGTTCAGTGGAATTCAAAGATAAAATTGATAAATCTCTTGCTGATGTTGTTGTAATCCAGAAAATAGTTCCGTGTTGTTCTTCGATGGCTGTTTTATTCGCAAGAGACATACATACCTCCCAATTCGTTATTAATGATGGAATGTCCGACTATAAAGAAAATAAAATCGAAGAAGATTAATTAACAAGGAACTCATTAAAAGGAATAATTTTAAGGAATTTCTCTAATAAAGAGTTCTTGAAAAAAATTTTGCTTTATGTCATATGTGATAGTACATTTCTTTTGATTTTTTTTAAAACTCGGATCACTTTAATTGAAATAAAGAATCTTTCAGTTTTATTACTTACCCAAATTACGAAGGAATCGACTCGATACAGATCAATTTTGATATTACCACTTACTACACGACAATGTAATCCTGCACGTTCAGGTAATTTATATATAGCATTATGAAAAAGTTTTAAATATGGGAGCCAAGGTTTAATTTGTTCATATTGTTCACTACGAA